CTCTGCCCCCCTCTGCCTCCCTCTTCTTCCCTCTGCCACCCTCTGCCTCCCATCCTTCTTCTTCCCTTTCCCTATTTCTCTTTTCCTCTCTCCTTCTCCTCCCTCCCTTCTTCCTTCTCTCTCTCCCTCTCTCCCTCCCCCTCTCTCCCTCCCACCCTTCCAACAATGATATGCTGAAATGAGACCGGCACTACCACCATGTGAAAAACTCCATTGATTTTTGAGATTTCAAGTTGCCCGTTCTCAGCCTCTAATTGCTCGGACAGCAAACGGTTCTAGGAGATTGTGAGCTACATCGGTAGAAAGAAAATACCACAGTTTGAAGCGATTCTAACGTGGACCAAAAAACGGATATTTTCCTACATGAGCAGAAGATGAGCTCCGATCAAGTTGAAATTTTACAGATATTAGTTTTAGACATGTTCGCATCTTTTCCGCCTAGTTACGTTATAAAATTTAAAAAAATTTTTTTCCTAAAGCAAGCGTGAAATGAGCCGCTTTTCACGCTTGTTTTGAGTGAGCAAAACGATCCATTTCGCAATGATGACGTAAGCGTTGAAACATGGAGCCATTTCTCAACTAGTGGAGAAATGAAATTGTAAAACAAGCGCGAAAAGCGGCCTGTTTCTGAAATATTTTAAATTTTGTCATATTTTTAATATAAAATATGAAATATCTCGTAAAGTATTAAATTCACTTTTTGATGACTTTACGTTGATACTTTTATATGTAGAATAATAAAAGAAACTAATTTTTTGTAAAAAAAAAACAGAAACAATTATTTTAAAAAATTTGATTGCATTTTGTAGATGCATTCAATTTTGCAGAATTGCAAATGTAAAAATTAATATTATTCGAATTCTTTTATTATTCTACGTATGAAAGTATGAAACTGAAAGTCATCGAAACATGAATACTTTACGAGATATTTCATATTTTATATTAAAAATATTATTTTAAAATACGACAAAATTTAAAATATCTCAGAAAATTCTAATAACAAAAGAGAGCTTTATTATAATGTTTTGAAGACGTCTCAAAATCTACAACTTTTATCTAAAAAAAATCAAGTTCTATTTAAGAAATTAGTTATCTTTAAAATTCTTGAAAACGATATCTACGATATAACTCACGTAAGAATCATGTTTCCCCCTTCAAACTAACTTTCGTCTGAAGCATTTTTTTCTAGAATCACAAATAAAAAAGTTTTTGGGGGTGATTGATTAAAATAGGAAACTGTATACGTATTACACGTGCATATAAATACGATAGATTTTTTAGAACAAGTAGAAACTTGTACATTGCTTCCTCATAGTTTTTAAGTGTGCAAGTAGAAACTTGTTTAAGTGAGCAAGTAGAAACTTGCACATTCCTTCCTTATAGTTTTTAAGTATGCAAGTAGAAACCTGCACATTGGTTCCTCTATGAGGAAGCATGTTTCTTTATGCATAATTATTAGTAGATATTTATTAATTTGGCTTCCTCATAGAGGAACCAGTGTGCAGATTTCTACTTGCACACTTAAAAAATATAAGGAAGCAATGTGCAAGTTTTTACTTGCTCACTTAAACAAGTTTCTATTTGCACACTTAAAAACTATGAGAAAGCAATGTACAAGTTTCCATTTGGACACTTAAAAACTATGAGGAAGCAATATACAAGCTTCTACTTGCACACTTTTTTTATGGATAAAGTATCATTAAAGATAGATTGGTGTTGAATTTGGCAATAATCGGTGAAGGGGTTACCAATTTTTGTCTAAAAAGTGTACAAGTCATACATGTAATCTTATATATAAGGTATCATTAAAGAGAGGTTGTTTTAAATTTGGCGAAGATTAGTAAAAAGGTTACCGATTTCTGTCTAAAAAATGTATAGGGTAGACCGAGGCAAATCGGATTACTAATTAGCACGATAAAATAGCTCGTTTAAAATAAAACACTAACGAAAATTGTCTTAAAACTTATATTGTTCGGCGTATCGCCTTGTAAATAGTATAGTTACTTCATGTTCATGTATTCACGTATCGCTTATACTTAGTTGCATAAGTCGTTTGTAATTCTCGCGCGAAACGTCGGCGGATCGCGATCAGCCAAATCATGCGACTCACCTGTCGGTGCTGCCATCGCCCATCCGCCGACGGTATCCACCCCCCCGGAAAGGGAACAACTACTCGCCCGCAGCGACATGTTCCAGGACCGCGGGGACAGAACATTCGCAAGCCAGCCGTCTTACGGCAAACACATTTTTGGCCAGCCGTCTTACGGCATACAATCATCGTCAAATAGCCGGAGAGGACACATCTCTCAGCAGAAGCATTAGCAATCCAGCCGTCTTACGGCAAACACACGTTTTGGACAGCCGCCGTGCGGCACACACACATATTCTAAGAGCCGTCTTACGGCACACGTTCGCCGGGCAGAACGCATCTCGAAATCGCCTTTGCCGCCTTGCTCAACCGGGAGTGCGCACGTCTCCAACTGCCTTTTCCTGCCTGCTCTATCGCTTGCTCTCCACCGTTTTGCTTGCTTGCACGAGTTTTGCCACCGCATGCCGAACAAGACCCACGGAGCGGCCAAGTTCAAGGGACAGGACGAGGATTGACGGAATCACGGGGACGACGGCCGACACGGTGAGTCGCTTCGCTTAATATTTCGTTGCATGCGTTTCTGCTTTCGCGTTAAACATTTGATAGTCGTGAGGGGAAAGCAACAACCCCCCTCTGGTCCTTCGAGTATCGCAAATCTTGCCTCCGGGGCGAAACTATCCCCGTTCATATATTAATCCGATTTGCCTCAATCTAACCTAAGTTATTTGATGGATGGAGTATTATTAAAGAAAAATTGTTATTTAATTTGGCGTAGATCGGTGAAAGGATTACCGATTTCTGCTTAAAATGTGTATAAGATGTACATGTAATTTTATGTAGAGTATCATTAAAATAAAGTTGTTTTGAATTTTGCGAGGGTCGGTGAAAGGATTATCGATTTTTGCTTATAAAATGTGTAAGTTATTTGATGGATAAACTATCATTTTTAAGAAAGGTATTGAATTTGGCGATAATCGGTAAAAAGGTTCTTTCTTTATATTGAATTTTTCAAAAGTTTAAATGCCTTTAACTCAAAAACTGATCAATTAAATCTTAAAGAATTATATGTAAAATAAGGGTAAAAAAGACTAAAAAATATAATAAAATTAAAAATAGTCCAATATTTCAAAATTTACAAAAGTTATAGCAACCACGGACATTTCTAAAAAAAATCAAAAATTTTTTTAAAAAGAACCCCTTTACCGATCATCGCCAAATTCAATACCAACCTTCCTTAAATGATACTCTATCAATAAAAAAAATTCAGCCCGATATCTCAATATTTTCGAAAGTTAGAGCAACCACGGACATTTCTAAAAAAATTCAGAATTTTTTTATAAAAGAACCCCTTTACCGATCATCGCCAAATTTAATACCAACCTTCCTTGAATAATACTCTATCGATTAAAAAATATATTGACAATTTTTTTCTAATTCTGTTATACTTTTCAGTCTTTTCTACCTTTATTTCATATTCTATTCTTTAATATGTATGTATGTATGTATGTATGCCGTTTATTGCATTTCCCCGTGGGGTTTACAAGGCGTTTTTATGAGGAACGTACCCAAACCTCGTACATTCTCTTTCCCCTGTGCCTGGCCATTTGCGACCTTACAAAGATATTTACCCCCCCTCCCCTCCCCTCTTCATCCCTCTTCTTCTTCCTCCGCTTCCGCCGTCCATTCTTCCTTCCTTCCTTCCTTCTCCATCCTTCCTGTCGACTCCTCCCTATTTGGTCTGCTGCCTCTCTCGTCCCTCCTCCTTCTCCTTCTCTGGACTCAAGAGCAGCTTCTCCTCCATCCTTCTCGTTATTTCTTCCTCCGCCGATCTCCCTGTGCACTTATGCACCTCCCTTCTCCCATCTTCCCTTTCTCTAACCCTCCTTTCCACCGATTTATCCTCATGTATTTTGACTCCTATGGAGTTCCCTGCCCTTCTCCTCGCTTCCAAAACTCGCCTCTTCTCCTCCTCGTCTCCTAGCTTTACCAGTATCGTCAACCAAATCCCTCTCTGCCCCACCACTATCACCTCTCTTACCTTCACCTTCACCTTCAGCCCTTCTTCGAAAAGCTCCTTTACTTTCTCCCAGTTGGTCTCCTTTCCTTCCCATTTCTCTTTCTCCACTCTTATAACTACATTCCTCTTTCTGAAATCGTCCTCGTTCCTTTCACCCTCACCTGCCCACCATTTCTTCTTTCCCGCCCTACTCTCCTCGCTATCCTCCCTCTTCCTTTTGCCTCCACCTTGCTCCACCCTTTCCATCTTTCTCTCCAGCCTCCTTACCTTCTCCTCCAGCTCCTCCATCCTCTCGTCCTTTTTTCTGTCTTCCTCCTTCTTTTCCCTCAGTATCTTCCTTAACTTCTCCTCTACAATCCCTTCCACTGCCTCCACTATCATTCTCCCTTCACGCTCCATCCTGGCTACCCTATAACAGAACAATTACTCACTTCTCCTTTTCTCTACTCTCCTCTTCCCCCCTCCCACTTATCCTCCTCCCCCCTTTCCCCTTCCGTCTTCCCCACTACCCTCCTTTAACTCTTCTAAATCTCCCTTTCCACTCCTTCTCTCCCCTTCTAATTCTAGCATCCATTCCTCTCCTCTTCCTTCCTCGTCCAAGACCCATCCTACCGCCTCCTGCCAGCTTCCCTTTCCTGAATTCCATCTTCTACATTCTTCCCATACATGCTCCCACGTTTCCTCTTTGTTCTCACACAATCTACACTTCTTTTTCTCCTCCGCTTCCCAGTATCTGCTCTCTCCTATCTCGTTCCCTAGTCTGTATCTCGCCACCCTTCCCCATCTACTTTCTCCCCAACCCTTCTTCAAATATCCCGGGATACCCTCTCCCTTTATCCACTTATACCATTTATTATATTCCGATTTCTCGATCCTCTCCCATCTCTCTCTCCTCTGCGTCTCCCTATCCCCTTCAAACAATTTAAGAAACCATTCGTCTCCATCTCCTCTCATCTTTTCCACCTCTTTTAACCCCACACCTCTGTCTTCGAAGAACTTTCCTCTCTCTCTTTCCCAATCTGAGCCAGCTTTCCCTTCCCTCTCTCTTTCCTTCAACTCTTCCCAGGCAGCCCTCGCCAATTCACTTCCTCCACCTTCCTCTAACTTTTTCTCAAATCTCCATGCCCTCATTCCTGCTCTCCCTCTTAATTTCTCCCTTTGTAACTCCTCCCTCACTAAATACCACGGTGTTCTCACATCCGCTCCCAATACCCATCTAATGTACCTTTCTTCCATTCTTTCCATTCCTTCCCTTTCTCTCCATCCCCATATTTCCGCTCCATAACTCAACACCGTCCACACCAGTCTATCGAACAGCCACAGTCTTTTTCCCCAGTCTTTCCCGAATCTCCTCTTCCCTATCCCCCATACTTTTCCCATCACTGCGGCCGCCTTTTTGATCCTTTCCCTTATTTGGGCTTCCTGCCCTCCATTTCTTTGAAACACGTATCCTAAATACCGAAATTCCCTCACCTCTTCTAACTCTTTTCCTTCCCATCTCCACTTCCTCTTACTGTCCCTCCCTCCTCCTTTCCTAAACCTCATTATTTTTGTTTTCCCCACGTTCAATTCCAATCTCTTCCTGCCCAGGTACCCCTCTAGTCTTTCTATCAGACTCCTCATTTGATCCTCGTCCTCCGCGATTAGCACTATATCATCCGCATAGGCCAGAGTATACACCCTCTTGCCTCCTAGCCTTATCCCTCCCCATTTAACTCTACCCATTTCCTCTTCCAGGTCTGCTAGCAACACATTGAACAGAATCGGGCTCAAAGGGCATCCCTGCCTTACTCCCCTCCCCGTCCAGAATACTTCTCCCAATTCGTTTCCTCCTCTTACCCTACTCTTCGTCTCTCTTAACATCTCTTCCGTCCTTCTCACCAGTCCTTCCCTTATTCCCCTTTCTCTCATAGCTTTTATTAATATTCCTCTATCCACCGAATCGAACGCCGCCTTAAGGTCCACAAAGCATGCTATTAGTTTTCCCCCTTTCTTCTCTAACCTTCTGTTCACCATGTAGTTCAACACGTAAATGTTGTCTATCGTTCCCATTCCCTTTCTAAAACCTGTCTGGTTGTGCGGTACCATTCTCTTTCCCTCTATCTCCTCCCTTATCCTCTCCGCCAGAATAGCCGTGTACACCTTATACAAAGAAGGCATTATTGTCACCCCTCTATATTCCTCTGCCCTCTTTCCTTCCCCTTTCTTTACGATTGGCGCAATTATCCCTTCCTTCCAAATTTCCGGCCATCCTCCCCCCTTCCATATCTTATTGATAAATTTCCATGCCCAAACCTCCAACCCCTTCCCTCCTCGCTTCCAGGCCTCTCCTGGGATCTCATCCTTTCCCATTGCCTTTCCGTCCTTTAGCTTCTTTATAACTCTCCTTACTTCCTCTAGGCTTATCTCCTCTTCCTCCTCTCCTTCCTTTTCTTCCCTCTCTCCTTCCCTCCCCATCCTCACCCTCCCCTCTACTCCTCCTAATAACTTCATAAAGTGCTCTTTCCATTCCTCCTCTTCTATTCCTTCCTCTATTCCCCTCCTTTGTCTTCTCTCCCTATTCACTATCTCCCATACCTCCGCCTCCCTCCTTGCTTCCTCCACTTTTCTCTCCCATCTCTGGTTCTCCTCTTCCTTCTTTCTCTTACATATCTCCTTAAATTCTTTCCTCCTTTCCTTGTACGCACTGGCCTCTCCTCTTTTCTTCCTCCAATCCCTTAATTTTCTCCTTGTCTCTTTCTTCGCTTCTCGACATTCCTCATCCCACCATCCCACCTTCCCTTTCTTATTTCCCAGCTCCTCCTCTACTTCTTTTATTGCCTCTGTTATTCTTGTTTCCATTTCTTCCCATTCCTTATTCAACTCTTCTTCTTTTTCTTCCACCTCTCCTATTTTTTCTCTAAACCTCTTTGTTCCTTCCTCGTTCCACACCCCCCTTCTTCTTTTCTTCCACCCTCCTCTCCTGCCTTCCTCCTCTTCCCCTCTTCTTACTTCTATTTCCAATGGGTGATGGTCCGAGTCTATTCTCTCCCCCACTACCATGCTCACTATCTTCTCTCTTACTTCTCCTTCCCCTATTATGTAATCAATCACCGTACCTCCTCTTCCCCCCGTGAAAGTAAACTCCCCCTCCTCGTCCCCTCTCACATTTCCATTAAATATCTCCCATCCTCTCTCCTCTAAGCTCCTTACCAACAGCCTCCCCTCTTTGTCCACCTTCTTGTCCTTCGATCTTCTTCCTTCTCCCAGTCCTCCTCCCTCCTCTTCCTCTATCCTCCCACCTTCTTGACCAGTCCTCGCATTAAAATCTCCCCCAATTATCGTATACCTTCCTTCTTCTTTCTTTTCCATTCTATCTCCTAACTCCTGTACGATCTCCTCCATCCCCTCTTTCTTTGCATACACCCCTATAATATTCCAGTTCTCGCCACCTGTTCTGACCTTTCCCACAATCCAACCCTCCCTCTCTACTTCTATTGCCGTTCCCTTTTCTTTTAATCCTTTCCTTATTCCCATTATCATCCCTCCTATTGCTCTTCCTTTTTTGTTCTTTTTCTTCGCCATTTGCACCCCCCACTCGTACCCTTTTGGAAGTCTCCCCCTTATTCTTTCCCAACCCTTTTCTCCTATCCAGGTCTCTAACATGACTAACACATCTTCTTTCTTCAGCCCTTCCCAAAAATCCTTATCTTTATTTTCCAACCCAGCTACGTTCCAGAATACTATCCTCCAAACTGACTTACTTTCCCCCTCTTCTTCCCCTCTAACTTTCGCATTGTCCCTCTCTATCTCCCCCCCTCTATCCTCTTCTCCTCTCATTCCCCCGTCTCCATTCCTACCTCTCCCTCTCCTCCTTTACCTTCTTTCCCTTCCTTCCCTCCTCTGCTCTCCTTTCTTCTCCTTCCCCTTTCGTCCTTTAACACCTCCTCTTCTATATCCCATCTCCACCAAGTATTTTCCAACCTTATTCTGCCTGCCTTAATCCATGCCCTCCTACCCTCTCTTTCCTCCCCTCTCGCTATCTCTCTCAACCGCCAATTCGTTCTTCTTTCCTCCCACGATAGGTCCTCCGTAATTCTTTCCTTTCTCCCCACTAGGCTCCTCTTTTTTTCCATAACCTCCCATTTCTGTTCTTCGTTCTCCAATTTTAACAGCACCATTTCCCTTCCTTTTTCTGTATCACCTCCTATTCTCTTCACCTCTGTAACCTTTACTTTCGCTCCTATTCCTTCAAGCAACTTTTCTGCATTTTCTCTCCTCCCTCCTTCTTTTACTTCCAGCCCTCTTATTACAACGTTTCTTCTTCTCTCCTCCTTTTCTTTCCTTTCCAGCCTTCTCTCCAGCTCTCTCATTTTCTCCCCCACCTCCCCTCTGCCGTTTCTTTCCTCCTCCTTCTTCTCCTCCTTCCTCTCTTCCATTTTTTCCTCCAATCTCCTTATTCTTTCTTCCATTTTCTCCTTCTGCTTATTTGTCTCTTCCCTCTCCTCTTTCCATCTCTTCTCACGCTCCCTAAACTCCCTTCTCAGATCCTCTATCTCTTCTCTCATCTTCCTACCCTGCTCCTTGAAACCCTCCCTTAGCTCTTCTCTCACTGCCCTAAATTCCTCCATCATTTCTCCCATTCTTTCTCCCAACTCCTTCACACTTATCTCCGAGTCTTTTTTAGGAGATCTTGCCGTCATATTACTTCTCTTAAAGATCTCCTCCTTTTCCTCCCCCCCGCTCCTCTCCATTTCCTCCCTCTTCCTCTTCCATAACTCTTCTATATTTCCCGTGCTCCCCCTTCTAACTTTCTCCTTTTCCTTAACCTTACCTATCGCACCCTTTCCCTCCTTCCCGTTTTTTTTCCCTTCACTCATTTCCTCCTATCTCGGCTCAGTTCCCCCTCTAGCTCCACAACCTACTCTATGCCCTGCCTCGTGTTGTTGTCCGCGTCCCGGATTCTGCGTCGAGTCGCCCCTCTCTCTTCGCTATCGTTCGCGCCCCACCTCGTGCTGCCGCTCTCGGCTCGGTTCACCTGCCGTGCGCCCCTCTAGCTCAGCTATCGTTCGTGCTTCCACCTACTCAGTGCCTCGCCACTTTACCTCCCTTTATCTCCTCTTCCCTGCCCCTCCTCTATTCCCCCTCTTACCTCCTCACTCTCTCACCTCCACACCTCCTTGCTCAGTCACCCTCTCCTTCCTCAGCTTCCCTCGTCACTCTCTACTAAACCCTTTTGCTCTCGCTCACTTTCACACCTGTCACTCTCGTTCTCTCCGGAACCGGAAGTCCCTATTCTTTAATATTTTATTTTGTTAATTTGCTCTTGAGTTATAGCCTTTTAAAATTTCGGAGAATTCGTACATAAGAAGCAATATGCAAATTTCTCATTTTCACACTTTTTTATTATATTAAAAATTTTTTCTAATTCTATTGTAGTCTTAGATCTTTTATACTCCTATTTCATATATAATCCTTTAAAATTTGATTAATTAGTTCTTTTTAAGCAAAAATCGGTAACGCTTTCACCGATCCTCGCAAAATTTAAAACAACTTTATTTTAATGATACTCTATATAAAATTACATGTACATCTTATATATTTTTTAAACAAAAATCGGTAATCCTTTCAAAATTTTCCGATCCTCGCCAAACTCAGAACAACCTTCTTTTAATGAAACTCTATATATAAGATTAAATGTATAACTTGTCCACTTTTTAGGCAAAAATCGGTAACTCCTTCACCGATCCTCAAAAAATTCAAAATTTTATAAAGAAAGAATCCTTTTACCGATTATTCCCAAATTCAATACCAACCTTTTTTTAATAATACTCTATATAAAATTACATATACAACTTATACATGTAACTTTTTGAACAAACATCGGTAACTTTTTCATCAATCTTCGCCAAATCTTAAAGAATTTTATATGAAATAAGGGTAAAAAAAACTGAAAAATATAATAAAATTAGAAAAATAGCGCAATATTTCAAAATTTAAAAAAGTTAGAGCAACCACGGACATTCCTAAAAAGTTTTAAATTAAAAAAAAAACCCTTTACCGGTCATCGCCAAATTCAATACCAACCTTTCTTAAATAATACTCTATAGATTAAAAAAAAAATTAAACCCGATATCTCAATGATTGCGGAAGTTAGAGCAACCACGAGCATTTCTAAAAAAATTTAAAATTTAAAAAAAAAAAATTTTACCGATTATCGCCGAATTCAATATCAACCTTCCTTGAATGATACTCTATCGATAAAAAAAAACAGCCCAATATCTCAATATTTGCGGAAGTTAGACCAACCACGGACATTAAATCCGCACATACACACACAAACACACACACACACACACACACACACACACACACACACACACACA